GGGCTGTTTTCATAATCAGATCTATAACAATGTTAAATAGAAATGAAGAGAGAAAGGGCAACCCTGACGAACACCACTTTCCATGGTGAACTCGGGCGAAAAAGTGCCGTAGGCCCGGACTTGACTTTGGCTATTAGTATAAAGCGATCGTAATATTGAAATTAACCTCTCGGGCACACCTGTCAGAAAAGACAGCGCCAGAGTTTAGAGCGGTCTGCTGAGTCGAAAGCCGCTTTCAGATCTAGGAAGACAGAGATTGTGGGTCTACGAAAAGAACGCCGGTGCTTCAGAATTTGGTGCAGAGTGAAGATGTGGTCAATACAACGACCGGGTCTAAAACCAGCCTGGTTCTCATGTGTGCACCGTTCGCGTGCGGCAGACAATTGGCGGAGCATGATGCCAGCGAGAAGTTTAGAGACGATATTGATTGAACCAATTCCTCTATGGTTTTCATAAGAGGATCTATCACCTTTCTTGTAAATCGGTGTGATGACCGATTCATACCATTCAGCTGGAACCTCCTCTCTTTCCCATATCGAACCCAGGAATATTGTCAACTCCAAGACTGACGCTGAGCCTCCATCCTTCAACACTGATGGAAACAGCCCATCTGGGCCAGAGGCCTTATGGCTTTTGAGATAACTTATTTCCCGAGAAACCTCCATTTCAGATGGAGGACTAGCATCAACTGGGAGTAATTGTCCATTCGAGGCGGAGAGTTAAAGGTAAGATGTCGATGGGGGCCAGTTGAGCTGAGCCTTGAAATGTTCAGCCCGACGGTCAAGACGGCGTTGCTGATCGTGATTCAGTGTGCCACCGGATTCCTTAATTACCTCACTTACGCCTATTTTCCTAGGGCCCGTATTCCTGATTAGATGGAGAAGGTTACGACTATTACTGCAGCTTTCTCCTTCTCTTTACACTTTTCTACCCAACACTTCTCTTGATGAGCTGGCGTTTAAGAGATTTGCGCGCTGTGTCGTATGTGGCAACCGGAGGCAGGGTTCTGCGGGCGTCCAGCAGGGCAACCGAGGTCGACGAAATCCATCGTTTGTGTTTTGAGCTTGAGGCAGGGTCTGACGTTGTTTTTATCGATATCTGCATAGCTTCCTTGATTTGCTTTCAGTATTCATTGAGTCCTTCGATTGGCGGTTGAACTGACAGGCGGTCCGAAAGCTCCACTTCGAAGGCCGATTTGCATGAATCGCTGACACTGTATCGCTTGTATCCGTTGTCGGTGGCTTTTTTGCGGTTGTTTGCCAGGCGTAGGGAGAATTTGGCTCGTAACAAGGCGTGGTCTGTATCCACAGCTGTTGACCATTAAGAGCGGCAGTCTTGAATTGATCCCCTCCAGCGGTAACTGATGGCGATGTGGTGGATTTGGGTCCAGCGCAGTGAAGAGGTTAGCGGTTTCTATGTAAGTCGATGGCGTTTCTTGTGCGAGAAGTTCGTGTTTGACAGGAACAATTCAAGGTCCGTATAGAGTTGAAGTTGGCGATCTCCGTTATCCGTTCGGTTGGCTGGGTTGCACGTGGTCCGCCAAGAAGCCTTTCTGATTCGTCCGGGGATTCCACTTGAACATTGAAGTCCCCGGCGACTACTACGACGTCCGTTGATCGAGCACTTTGGAGTAGTTCAGTAAGATCCTGGTAGAATTCATCCTTGATTTCAGGTATACTGCAATCGGTCGGTGCATATACCGATACGACGAGTAAGCATCGACGCTTCATTCTGTAGCTGTTGACTTGAACTGAGCCGTTGAGACGCACAGCGCACAATCGGCTACTGACTGGAATCTAGTCAAGAAGCGAGCGCCCAGCCTTGGCACTTAGCGCAATCCCGACACCAGCAACACCGCGAGCTTCGGATGGTGAATCGCCTGACACACTAAGGGTGAAGCCTGAGGTTGAGGTTGGATCAGGAGAAGGCAGAGAGATAATGGAAGTGGGGTCTCGTATTCGTGTTTCGGAGACACAACATACATCCACATTGAAAGTTTCGAGGGTTCTAGCCAGGGCAGCTTGTTGGCCAATCTGATAGATTGTGCGGCTAAGTTAAAAGAGGATTTTGGCTTTAAAAATCCTGAATATCTGGCCTTGATGGTAAAACGTTGAGTGATATTCGATGGGTGGTGTAAACAAGGGGCATCTGGGAATATTCGGGGTTGAGAAGAAGAGTTAGACAGGTGGGAAGGATGGTTTTTCAAATGGGTGTCTTTGGGTGCGACATACTTTGCGGTAGCCCACACCGACGAAGGGGTTTTTCTTTGGGAACCCTAACCGGAGCCTTTGACTCAAGAGTCTGACCCACGAGGCAGTGGGGCGTAAATCCAAAACGGGAGCGTGAACGGAGCACCCGTGTGGCAGCTTCTGGAGAACTGTCACGCAAGGCCTCTGAATTTCCATTAATTGTGTTGTTCGCTGGGGCGTTGATTGTCGGTCCACTTTTCGGGATAGGTCCTTTGCCTCATGCACCCAATGGGAAAAGCGGAACGTGGACGGAACAGCATCTTATTGGCTGGGGGCTGGCCAACTTGAGCGGGCGGTAGGTGTCCAATGAAGTGCGAAGACTTCTCCGATCGTCGAGGGGAAGCACCAGGTGTCCCGCTCTTACGTCCATATACCGGGGGGTTTCCACCGGTACACTTCCCCTCACCGTGTTTATTTGCTTGGGTGGCCTCTCCAGGGGCGGTTGTGGATGGAAGAAGGAAGCCAGGAGGTACCCAAGCAGCTGGCTTTGTGAAACAGCTTCGTCTGGTCTCTACCCGTTGACCTTTCAGGCATGATTGGATCTACGGATGTGAAAAGCGATCCTGTGTACCTCGCAGGGTCATGGAGGCACACAAGCCATCACACCACGTCGAGGTGCAGTCTCGTCGTGATGGAATTAGAAAATATAGTGGGAGGGGGTTGGTCTTTTTTATGGCGAAAAACGATCTGTTCCTTATCATGATGTCGCTATAGGAAACCCTATAGACCCAGTCCTGACAGACTTGTTTATGGTACATCTCGAACAAATAATAACATTCCGGAACGTGCCATCATTCACCGAGTTCCAGCGCCGACCAATGAGGGAACAGTGTCCTTTACCAGACTGGTGCTAATAAACGTGTCAGTCGGCGCTGTTGCGTTTATTGTTGCCCAAGCTGAACTGCGCGAGACTGGAGTTATGCCAACCTGACGGATTCGAGACGCATAATGTGACCTGGTGAGCACCCCAGACATGTACTGCTGATTGAAGTGATCAAGTTGTCGAACGTCACGGATAGCGTGTAGGTGTGCCGCAGTTAATCGAAGGACGGGAAAGATTCAGTAATCCACACTCTAAGCTTCTACTCAAATAATGAGAGATGGTCAGTTTGCTGTGACATTAACGCGCTGGAATCGCATACACACATGTACAGTTATGAGTTGTTCCTGACATATACCCCTTTATCAAGAAAATAGCTTCAGCCCCCCTCCCCTCTTTGTTGTAGCACACGGATGGCTCAAATAATTTGAAGACAACATTCCCTCACCGATGTTTCGTCGTTCGGTTCAATCGTTACTGAGCACTTTTTGTCCGACCAAGTTCCTTTCGCGAGTAGAAAGCAAATTGCCATTTGAAACCAACCTGTTCGAGGAGTCCGATCTGACCGAGGACTTTGTTCGTGGTTGGGGCCCTGGTGGTCAGGCAGTCAACACAACATCCAACTGTGTGGTGTTGCGGCACAATCCGACTGGATTGACAGTGAAGTGTCAGGTAAGCTACTATTATTGCACTGTTATTAGCATTCAAATCGACTAGAACAGTCGAATGTTTTTCTCTATGGTCCTTTTTGGGCTGTTTAGAAGTGATACGGTCATGAATCTTGCGCATTAGCTGGAATGGTGGTCACTGAAGCGGAAGCAACCCATGACATGAAACTCGATTCGGAAAGCCGTGGCATGGTGTTAAGGGGTCTTTTTCGAGTTTACTTGGCAATAATGGACTACTGGGGATGAGATTCTCACATGAATTAGAATCAGCTGATGGGGCCAATCCAAATATCCGGGTTACAATTCTGTACTTCCGGATTCGGGCTGTCAACAAACTCCAAGCATCTTAGCGGTTGCTCGAGAATGCGTCTTGGGCTTCTAGAAGACTACTTCTCTGGAAGCTTAATAGAAATGCTCTCAAATACCTGCTGAAGAAGTCCTACCCTCGGGTTTCACATAGCGAAATTGTTTCCATTGTAGTGGGAAGGGAGACGCTTATGTCCGCCGCCTTTCGTTGAGTAGGTTGACCACAGTTTGTTAAAATCCCGATCCCAAACTACCCACACTTAGCTGACGGAATTCGTAGTGACTCCACGCTTTGGTACAACTCTGGACTTGCCACCGAGCTACACCTATAGGTTTGATCGCCACGACATTCACAAGCATGTGATTAGTTTAAATGGAATCTAGCTACTCCAAATGCCTAACCGCTTCAGAAAGGTGTGCAAACTGGTCTACTAATCACGGCTGCTTTGGAATTATTGACTCCACTTCACTCTCTTGCTGATCAGGTCCATTACGAAGGCTGCGAGTGGGCTCCTCGAAGAAATTCCTCTATGTTGAGCTAGGTGACTTGTACTTCCACGAAGTCGCACTGATTTTGTTGCCTTGTTTGACTGCGAAACGTCTGCAAACAACATTTCCGGCTCGGATAATCCCCCGCCAACATTTGTTTTGCTTCCCATAAGGACGAATTCAGGTTCGGAACTCAGCGATCTGATTAACTTCTACCTCAAATCTTAAAGAGGCCTTCGACTTTCTTCAGTCTGAGGACACTAATACGTCAACGTCTGGTCATGCCGGTGTTTCCATTGACGTGAACACCAAGGCCGAGACCGATCTATCAGATTATATCCGGGTAGACAGCGAACTGTGCTCAATGAAAATTCGAGTATCATGTGAAGTCAGCAAATGGAGACCAAGTACACGGTGCTTGTTTGTGGTTTCTGCGACTGTCTCCTCCGACTGATTGTAACTCGGATGGAGTTAAATGCAGTTTCCATTATCGTCTAAACTAACTGATTCCTGAAGTGCCTAATACGAATCTCTTGTTTATGACCGGGTACCTAAGCGTTGATGTTGGCCGTCTGTTGTCCTCTGAGGCTCATCTTTGAGATCATCACGACCTCGGCATCTTTCTTTCAGATAATGGAATATACTTCGGAGGCGCCTGTTCTCAAAACAGTTTGCTCTTCATTAACACGAACTTCAGACACCAAAAGCGTCACCTAGTCACTTGGCGTCGCCCCTCACTGCTGCAGAGGTGGAGCTCAGATTGATCATATAGCAATCTGCTATAGATGGGGAATGTGTGAACGACTGTCGTTCATGATGGTCTGCTTGCTTGGACTGGGACCGCGGACTGGTTTATGCCAATCGGCCAGTGCGGTATGACTGCGCGCCAAAATAGGTTCAAACAACTTGACACTACCAAACTTTTTCAACCCAACCTTGTATATCGATTTTCAAAACCAGTTAACCAGGAGACTAACCACTACCCCACCAAGGAGTGTAAAACAGCATTAGGCAAGCATCCAGGGAGCAATATACTCGACCGGTGTATACAATTGGGGTCTGACCCCACAAGGTATAAGACACTGGGTTCCTTTCAACTCTCTCTCTCTCTCTCTCGAAACTCTTGACGCACGTCGAGTAACCCCGGCGGACAGCGAGTATACTGAACAAAGCCTCTCTTCGAAGCGTGAACTCTCAAAGGGCTCAAGAGACTACCGAGAAGCCTCCTGGATGCTGTGTGCAAAGGAGATGAAAACAGGTCCTACATCTGACAACATCCGGTGGTTGTTCCAACTCATCTGCGCCACTGGTCAAAGAAGACGGTTAAACAACTTGTGAAATAGGCGTCAGACCAATGCTTACAACGCTGCTGAGTCAACTTCTCGTCAGAGCTATCCTAACTCCACCACCCTAGCTAGTCCCTACATACAGAACAGCCCACAGAAGAGGAGATCCGATAGAAGATCTATGCTCTGAAATACTATAAAGCATATGAACCAGACAGTATACCGCCGATCGTTGTTAAATGTGGTAAAGAAATTCTCGTAAAAAGCCTCACCAAACTGTTTTTAAAGATGAGAGAAAAAAATTGCACCGTCTACACGGGTGATCGAGTGTTACAGTTATTTTTAATAACGGTTGTCGAATAAGTCCGTTTTACCATGCCTCTTCTTCCCTCTGTTTTTTCTCACACATGTGTAGGGATCAGCGATGCGGCTGAGAAACTTGGTCTCTCCTAGCAGATTATGAACGACAGCTCTGTTTCAGAACACCGTCATTTCCGTGCATAGCGGCAGGCAACATCGCGTGAATAACGACGGGTTTAGAAGACGTGTATTACGAACAGATAGTTTTCCGTTAAGAAAGAGAGAGTTAATGAGGTTGTGTTCAGGGCTGGCTTCCGTGGTTGAATCCCCGCTAACAGATTGAGGATGAAGAGACTCTAATTATCGTTGGATGAACTCACTACGGGATATCATGTTGAATCCAGATAAACGTCGTCAATACGTTTTTAAATATTTGCACTGCCGAAAATGAAAAAGGCAAAAAAATATTAAAGGTCGTGTTTTTTGGAGTTCAACGCATTCAATGCTTCAGATTCAAACCAGCCATTGTTGTAATTGGTTGGTGCCGTGAATCGGGGGGTTGGATTCGGCCACTAACTCACACTGAGCTGCGTTTCGTCACTCGGGTGGGCATTGTCCTCTCACTTTGGTGGGAAAACACCTCCGCCACGAGAAGGCAGTGAGTAGGGCTTCCACAGCAGAGGCTATTTGAAATGCTTGGCCGTATGGGCGCATTTCGCGAGGTGCAAGGGAAGGGTGACCAGCCGCACCCTAGACACCCACCCCCGACCATACTGACGCTTTCGGAAGCATGTTCGAGGAAGAGAACAACCAATTAAATATTTGCGATAGCGTACAAGTAAACGGGAAGGTTGATTGGCGATGGGATGGGGTTACCTACACTCCTTGATCATCGTTGCCCCAGACTACAATCCAATGACTTCAANATTAAAACACACCAAGCCTGCTCTGGTTCAGGGTTGCTTTGATTCACTGCGCTCATCACATCAATCGTTCTTTGTGTGTTTGTGATGTATTCCGTTAACCTTCCTTTCTCACTACACTTTTCCCCACCTGGTTTAGGATTGCCGCGATCTGTACAAAAATCGAATTATCGCGCGACGACGACTTCACGAGAAGTTGGATGAGTATCTACACGGTCCTGCAAGTGAAGTGGCCCTAAAACGGGACCAGACGGAAGCTCGCGAGCGACAGCGGTTCGTGCGAAACAAGCGACGTTTGGAGGCCAAATTGGCTTTCAAAGCTCGAGAAGGTCTGGATAGGCGCTCGAAACCATCTCATAGCGATGATAGTCATGATGTGGACGTATCCAAATCGGAATGAACAATGGTGCCTCAAGAATATTCACCTGTCTTTCTTTCTCTTTCAACAGTATTTTATACAGAAAGTTGTAAATCATCATTCTTTATTTGCTATTATGTATAGTACACAAAATACAGCTGATGGACGGACAACCCTTCCTCTTCAAAAATCCAGCACATTTTGGTTTTGAGGAATATTTCTGGGGAGTGATGAGCATCATTGATATTACATTCAGTCAGTTTGGGGATATAATGTATTCATCCATTGTCGACCTTTATCGCATTAGCTTTGGTGTACATGCAATGAAAAGTGACTTAGTGAGTTATGCAATTCGCTAAAAAGACAATGATTATGAAGAGGAAAGACGCGTAACGGAAGTAGAGACTGCAGTATGGATCACATGAGATTATGCCTCAGTTCATTTGAGAAAGATGAAGTACCACAAGCTTTTGGAAAATTGTGCTGCGATTGTACGACGGTTTAAATGTATTGCCGGTGACAGAAGTGGAGACAGAAAGAAAGAGGATCGGTTATACAGGATGTTATGTACCCGTAAATAAAGGAGAAAACCTTGAGAAGCTGATACCCTAAAGGGGACTCCACGCAGTCCAGTTCACCCACCGTTTCAATGTAACACTGTTCATTCGTATGTGAGCGCAAAACATCCAGTTCAGTGGCCTGTCGATTACTTTTCTATAGGCGCATTTTGCCATGTTTGGATATCGTTGTCTCAGTAGGACTTGCATTCGAACATTGCAACTCAGTGAGATGGACGGGACAACGAATATTATCCAGTTCATCGTTGAGTAGGAGCGACAAAACTGGTGCAGCATATTCTTCTGGTCACGGCGGTTCGGAGCCTCGCAGTCAATACAAGTAGGATTGGAGTAACTAGGAAGTAATTGTTTCTTTATTTCACAATTGTCTGGTGTGTGGTACAAAAACCCTCTTGACAAATTGGTCCGTGATTTGTTTACGGGTGCACTATTACCAGTTTTCCCGGACTGAATCAGGGCATTGTCTTAGAGCTCCCCAGCTGGAAGCTTTGGATAGTGAAAGCCTAATCGGCTAGACAGCGGGGCACTGAGTGAATCGCATTTCATTGGAAATTGGCGTCCAGTCAGTCGGATCACACGCATTTTGATCCAGGTTAACATGTATTGAGTGTTCAATGGAGTCAACGTGTTTTGATGGGAAATACCTACAAGTGGTTGCTTTTCTCGTCCCATGTTTTTTTGCATAACCGGATCGATTTACGGATCACAGAGGTACGAAATGTCAGGTGACCAGAATCTCTGTGATTCAGTTCATAGGCCTTTTCTCAAGAAGTTTCGAATTTGTTTTCCAGCTTCCTTAGATTAGCCAGCTGCCTCGTGGTTCTTCAACCCTTTCATGGACTTTTGACCTCTCGATTAAGTGGTGACACACTCAGCATGAGAAGACAATGAGTAGACCCATTCCAGCGGATGTTTCGAGGTACACATTCCGATCAACAGGTTTTTCGAGGACACCCGAAAATGAGTAATCCTGATGTCAAAAATCCTTCGAAAAACAACTGCAGTCCGTTTGATTTTTGCCAAAGACCAGACTATGAATCACCTAAGGGATGCTTAGTGTTTATTCACCGGTGTGGAGTTTCTGTTAACGTTGAGCGACGAGGCATTTGGGAGCAAAACGGGAAACCCAGTCTAAAATGCTGTGGAATAAAATTCCCTAGCTGATTCACTGTAACTGCTAAGCGCGTTTCAAGTCGTTCATGTTTGCCTAATCAATTTATCAGCATTGGGTTGTAATTGCAGAATTGTGGATTTTGGAGTTATTCTGTTTGACTAAATAACGCGTTGTGATTTGCGTCGCACGTGATAAGATTCTCAGTTTCTTTCCGGTGCGTATTTCAATTTAGCTTTTGAACATTTCTGTGCGGATCACGTCTATTTCAAATCGCTATCACGATTACAATCATCAAATTTCCCTGTTGCAGTTTAAGAATCTGATCTGGAGAGTTGATCAATCCGTTTTTTTAATCGACTACACACCGGTCGATCTGAAGTATCCCAATACCAACGAATGGCTGACCCTTGAGGGAACTGAGAAGATCAACCACACAGCAACTGCAACAAATTTCGCAGGGTTACTCATCAAGCCACACAGAGAGACTGGTTTTACAACTAATAGGAGTGAGTATTGCAAATAATAATTAAGTTTCAAGCTCTGGGACACACTAAGGGTCGTCGCCTACCAGTGAAAACGACCGCAATTGATTGATTTTCACTCGGTGTTAAACAGGAAATCAGGGTTTAGCTGTTGTTGGTCTGAGTCTCTACGCCAGTAAAACCGGATGGATTGAATAAAATCCAACGTTTGAATCTATGCCCCCCCCCCAAATAAAGTTCCAACGCAACTGCTCAACTAAGAACGCCCATAAATTTCGTATGTGAGAACACGTGCTCCATTATCGAAGTCCTGGAACGGATAAAACTCTTTGTTAAGCCACAGATAGAGTTGAACGGATAAAGATCACGAATCTGAAATCTACGACCCACGAGTTCATTGGCTTGAAAGTTTCCCTTCTTCCCCAATCCTGTTTTAGTAGTGCACGTATCTTTATACCGGTTCATTACACGTTACACTATTGGTCAAGCAAAATCGAGAGCCCTATTCTACCAGAAAGATTTACACAGGTCTATCTGACTGCTTACATTAGTTCTCAGAACTTTCAATTTGCAACGCGATGCAATCGGACGACCCGATATGTGGATAGAAGTCTGGATATCGAAGGGACGGAGCTACACAAGTGGGTTCTGGGGTTCTGTTGCTATTTGGCTTGATAAGAAGACTGAACTGCCTCTCATCGACGGAACCATGAATGGTTCGCATTCCATAACATGAACAGTTGAAGCAGCTAGTGACACTGACGCGTTGACTACTCAGGGCGCAAGTTGGAATATCCGTCGGTGACCAAAGGAATTTTTGCTTTTCGTTGTTGATCACCGAACATGCATTTAGAGTCGCATAAAGTCCGTTGTTTTAGAAGTTCCGAACACAACTGAATTGTAATGTTATGGTGTCGTTCTCATTCTTAACCAATATTCGGAATCATTATGTTTGCTATTGTCGTTGACTCCACTCGACTGAAAGCTGATAGCACAGTCTGAAAACCGAAATAATTAATGAGAACTCAGTAGCCATATTGATTATAAGTGAATCCTTATAGGTATTTAGTGTAGTTATTAAAGGATCGCTCTACCCAGTTATGTGGTTTATAAACATTCCTAATCATATCACTTCATTTCCAAGCATCGGAGCCAGTCAGTCATAGCCTCGTTCTCTTCTGCATGTGGCATAGAATGATGATTTTTTCATTCACAATCACACTACTCGTGAGTAGCATGGAATCAAAGTTTAATTTTATTCGATTGACCTGTGCCGTACACACCGATAGCGACCATTTCCATCAATTACAGAACAACACGGAGAAGTTCAGTCGGCACAACTCACGACGTAATTGGCGATATTTAGTCTTTTCTTTTTTTTGTCAATAATATGATAAAAAGACCTTTCAAATAGGTTAGGCGGTTCGAAATGATTCCCACGTGTATAAACGAGCCTCCGCAAGTTCTAGGTCCACAAACACTACACTGCAAATGAATCCAAAATGTAGAATTAACACAGACAGAGAGAGAGAGAGAAAGAGACGGTAGTTAGAGAAGCAGTCTATGCATATCATCAATGGTTCCTTAGGAACCATAATGAATTAAAATGCAGCCTTATTGCCACAAAAGATGGGTTGATTTTCATATTTCCTCGTAAACCAATGGATCACAAACCTCAATTGAACAAAATTTAGACAACACCGTTTAAGAATAAATAAGATTTTCTATACCCTGCAGCATGGCATTGTATGCAGCTGTAAATATTTTCTATTTCAAAAGTATGCTTGATAGGTTTGAGTTTGCGAATGTCAGTGTGTATCCGATAACACGGAGTGTCACCCATGAATAAAATCCGACTAAAACGTGATCATAAGATAGTGTAATATGCACAACGGACTTCCACCAACATACCGTGTGGACTGCTTTTCTATATGTATACGGAGAGACTGCAAACATTTGGGCTTATATTCAAGTCAGTGGCATCGAATTTCGGGTACATGAAATTTGTCTGTTTACACTATCACACAAGGTCCACTTCGATGTGTATTTATTCAGATAGATGATTCATAAATGTCACCGTCGACATTTCACTATGGTAATGTGCACCATATGCAACTTCCTACTATTCTATTTCGTTTGTTCTGTGACCATTGAATGGTTCACTCTGAAAATTGGTGAAATTTGGTACGCCTCACACGGTAAAATCAGTGATACTATTTGAAACATCGAAACATCATGTAATATTGTTTACATCTGGAAATGTATTTAATTTATTCTGTTGGAAATATTACGATAGAATTGAGAAGATTCTCTATGGTAAGACAGAGGCATAATATTTTGAGTATTTCTCATATTGAAATTTGCTTTTGATAGAAAGTCAGGAAGACAGTGTTTCTTCATTTCTCCGAAAATCATCGTGCGTACANGTAACTTGCATTTTCTAAATCAACCAAAAGTTATTCATGATATGGGTCTGATTACCAGTCGATCGGTTAATAAAGCTTCATTTGTGACGTCCGACGACGATCACGATTAGGAAACAGATATGGAGAAACCACACTTGCAGACGTACAGAAGTAATTCATTGATTTCCCCTGTCGGATAAACTATTGATCAATTTTTATGAAAGTCTAACCGGCAGCATGGCCATGGTGGGGGTCCAATGCGTGAACAGTCTTTATGCTACTGGTAGCATTTGTGAAGTTTCTTCCCACTGCCCCAGATGTGCGTGGTATCAATCAAACTTGAAAATGTGTTCAAGTTTTTATGTATTCTAAAATGCGCTCTCAATAGCCAGATAGATCTATCTCGTCCGAATTTACTAAACATGAATTTATTGCAATATTAAGGATTACCAAATGCAGGGTCTGAGATTAGGTAATCAAAGATTTTTTCATATGTTTTGCAAGCAATAATAAAGCGATGAAGGTCATCAGGATCTCAACTACCATCACCACTTAAAATTTCATGCACGGAACTGCCCACTGTTCACACAACCCCTAATGGACTCAAGAAGAGAAGGGTGATGAAATGTGGAATCAATATTAATGTGAGAGAATTCATATGAAATATAAATAGATTAGCTTGAGGCAGAAAAATACAGATCAGTGGCAGTCTATCAAAACAAGTTCATGGATTCCGAGTACATTTAGGTATTTCCAACATTTGCTCGTTTTGTCGCTGGCTGTTGTGAGTTGGACTGTGTTCGTTTCCGACCAGCACTAGCCACAGGGGCTTTTCCGGTGCTGTTGATGGTCTGTGGGCTCGGGTCATCCAAGATCTCATTGTCATACTGAGCCACATACGGTTTCACCACGTCCCATATTTTCCCCGCGCGTATCAAGGCAGTGACCGCTTCGATTTCCGGTGACATGAATCGATCATTCTCCCATGCACTGTGAGAGAAAAATTTGTGAACGCGTTTAAGTTAGTAACTACGGTCGAGGAACGTCAAATCTAGTCGAACACAGCGACGACCAAGCTCGTTTTCAATGGTTCATAGTTACACTACTACAACACTATATCCGTAGTCAACAATAAAATTGATCAAGCAAAGGGAAAGTTAACATCATAGTCTATTTCGTCCCAGGACCGTATATAGGATTTAAAATGATCATATAGATGTCAATTACTTTAACCGGTCGTCAAGACAAGATTGGTAGGTCATAAGGGCTTAGGTGCCTACTCAAATTGATTTGGAGAGCACAGATAAGAGTTGTGCAGACGAATTCCTACCGCTTCTGCTGTGCCATTCATTCGACAGTGCACAGTACAGGGGGTGGTGGAATGCCTCAGTCACGCTCACAGTGTGCTTCATTTCAGCTAGGTATGAAACCATGACAAAAGTGTGGAAACCAGTCGTTGGTGAGTTTAGCCGCTCATAGTGGTGTCCACGGTTTCATCTGAACAAACATCTGCCCTGTGTGCATTGTTCCAGAGCAGCCTGTAAATGCAACCCAATAGAAGAGGGACTCCAGCTCCGAAGGTCTATCTTCACATACAGTGGCTATCCGGAATGGGTGAGTGGCAAGTGGACATTGTACAGAAGACTGGGGTCAGAAGGAATTGCTTTATCGTTCAAAAGGAGAGAGGGGGGTGCATCAGAAAAGGCAATACCAAGGAGACTATTTTTGTATTGTATTGTATTGTGTATAACTTTTGGAAGCACTGGAGCTCATATTTCAGTCAAAAAAAATCATACATGCTAACCGTCACAATGTACATAATCAACTGGGAGAAAAGTTTTCTCAGGCATGGAGACATTCATAATCCAAGGTTAAGACAA